GGTCCTTGCACTTGAAGGAGCTAGCAAGGCTGGAACCCTTACCCACACAGTTTTCCCAGACTTGTTTGGATGGCGATTATCAGTAGAATGAGAGCAACATTTGTAGAATGAGAACAGCCTTTCATAGCTTACCAAGAAGTCTGTAACTATTTACTGAGATATGCTGTACTGAGAACTTGTCCTTATGCTGTGTCTCTCCCTTAGAGATTAAGAGGAACAAAGAATACATTCCTCTTGACAGACCTCCTATTCAGTGTGTTGTGTATAAAAGGCATTGAGTAATTAATAAATTTGCTGTAGTTCCTCGAATGAGCTGCAGTCCTCCCGATCCCGCTTTCCTGTCTTTCTTTCTTTTCTCAATTCCCACCTCTGTGCCTCAGCCTGGCTCAACCTGTCAGGCTGGCCCTGACAGTCAGCCACTGCCTGAGGCCACCCAGCAGGAGCTACATAGAAATCTGCAGATTCCTTCTCTTTGTTTGGGGTTTGGAGGTGCCTAGATGAGGAGCAGCTGTGAAGCAGTGCAGGCAGCTGAGGAGCCTTAGGCCTTCTTTTGGAAGCTCTGGGGTTCTTTGACCCAGCTGCAGTTTGTTAGGTTTTAGATTGCAAAAGACCAGCCCATTCATATGCAAAAGCCTCTGCATACAGCTTGGGTGGGGTTGTAAATTGAGTGGGGCAGGGTGTCAGGGAATCACGGGTCGGTGCAAACAGCAATGGTTGCCTGTCAGCCCTGCCCCAATCGGTCCCTGGGTCTCTGTGTCCTGCGGTCCCGTACAGGAACAGTGAATGCTGTGAGCACCTCTGAGAGAAAGCCGCCCTCGCATTCCGTCCTGATGCCAGACAGTCCAGTTTTCTCCCCCTATGTGTCTGGATCCCCCAGAGTCTTGCCTGGCACTGGAATTCAGAGCAAGCGGGAGCTTATATCTCCCTCCCGATTAAAAGAGCAGCACATACAGGTGCCAGTACTTTCTGCACCTCTTACCAGTCTCAATGAGCTTTCTTCACCTCTCTAGTTGTGGAACTTCCACTCAGCCAGCTTTCCCACAGTTCTGGGTGGTAGCTGTTCTGCCTTTTACTTGTAATTTTGATGTGGTTGTGAGAGGCAGCAAGTTTTGATGTGGTCGTGCGAGGGAGCAAGTTCAGGTGTTTACCTATGCCGCCATCTTGGTTCCTCCCTGTATTGTCCTTAGTTTGGTCTGTTTCACCATTATTTTGAAGAATAATTTTGCTTGATATCCAGTTCTAGGTTGGCAGATACATTCTTTCAAGATTTTGAATGTTTCATTCTAAAACCTTCTGGCTTCCACTGTTTCTGGTGAGACATCAGTAACAGTCTTATTTTCATTTCCTTGGAAGTTAATCTCTTTATTGACTGCTTAAATTTTCTTTCTGTCTTTGTCAGAAGTGTTTTCAGATAGGCGCCACTTTGGTTTCTTTTTACATAATATCTAATTATCTGCTAAACTCTCATCTTTTATGCTTGAACATATTGAAGTTATTTTTAAATATCTGCCTGATTATTATTTGACACCCCTGCATATCCGTTTTATTGTAGATCGTTTATTGTTTTTCTTTCTTAGCTTCCTGATTGCTTGGTTATTTATTGGTTTGCTTGTTTATTTTAGCCCCAAACACTGTATATGAAAAATTATAGGAATACATTCATACTTGGGGTGATGTTTTCTTCTTGCATAGAGCATTTTGCTTTACTTAGAGCTGGCATCTTGGGACATTAGAATCCATGATCACCTAGTCCAGTTTCAGGACGAGAGGCCTGGAAGCTGGGCTTGGCTCTCTGGGAGGGCCAGTCTGCTTCACTCTCACTACCACAGGTTTCTCAGTCTTGACAGGATTGACCTTTGGCACCCATTAGATGCCAGCAGCACCCCTTACCCAGATGTGACAGCTGAAAGGTCTCCAGAGTTAAAGAAATGTTTGCTGGAGAACAGAATCACTCTACTTAAGAGCCACTGTCTAACACATGTTTGAGCCCAATTAAAAGTAGTGGGTTTGTCTGGTCTCACCTTGACAGGCCCTGGAGTCCAGTGTTTATCCCAGTGGCTCTGAGATTGCCAAAATGAATTAAATAATTCATAATTCATTTCAGGTGGATTTCTGTCAACAATCCTATCTAATAAAAGACAAAAATGGTAATTGGCGTACGACCGATACCCTTTTCGTTGGCTAATCAGCAAGATATGCAAATTAACTGGCAGCCAAGATGGCGGCAGGCAGCCAGGCAGCTGATGCGAACAGGGAGGCTTGCTTGCTTCAGTGACGGAGGACTACAACATTCCCCACCTGCCTTGCCGGCCTCTGAGCCTGCAGTTTGAAACATTGTAACAAATATAGAAGCTAAACAAAACCCCAGAAACATGCTTTCATCCAGCCAGGATCTCAGAGCTGGAGTTAT